CAAAACCCATGGACACAGAGGAAGGCGCCATCGTAGAAGACCAAAACCCATGGACACAGAGGAAGGCACCATTGTAGAAGACCAAAAAAGGCAGAAAAATGATCCGACAACAAGAAAAAAACAAAACAAGAACAAAAATAACAATAAAACAAACTTACCTGCAACAAGTGTTTTTCGTTTTAGTATCAGATTATGGAAAGTCCCAAACCACACAACATACAGCAACTGACACGGGTAAATCTACCTTCCTTCCTTGAGAGGAAACACGTATGGGATATCAACAGCGATTTAACAAAAATTGCGTCAAACAAAAAGATGGTGACAGTGTTTCCCTAAGTCAAGCGCAGTACACAGACCAGATCTGTATGTACATACATGTATATATAATTAAAGCAGATAACTTTAGTGAAAGAGAGCGGAAACCATGCCTTCATGGGTGGGCACCCAACCACATCAGGCGAGAGTTTTCGGCGCTCAATTGAACAGCGAGGGGAAGCCGGTCTGGCGTCAGTCCCGTGCCGAGAAGGACAGACAGGAGCAGAGTCACGTCACGATCTCACCGATCTGTCATGGAACTAGATCTAGATTCTAGGTCAAAGTATGTCTGTCGTTCTTGGAATGGTTTTAGTTTTCTTTTCTTTTTCTTTTCTTTTTCTTTTTTGTTTTTTGTGTGGGTTTTTGCACGTGTTTCACGGCGCTCGCAACTGCTTAAGGTCATATTATGAGAGCGCGGGACACATTAATTAAACATTTGCAGTCGGTAGGAAATTTTGAATTTTGCCCAGATGGCGGTCGAAACCTACTCTTATCGATTTGGGAGGGATAAGACGTCGTATCAAATGGTGAAATGGTACGGGTTTTACGCTCCTATCAACACAATTAGGTTATTTAAGGGGCGGGACCTCCTAGTTTAACGTCCGTCTCCGATAGGACCGAGCCAAGTGGGAAGTTCGTGTAAAGTGTCTTTCCCAAGGACAAAACGTCGGGCCGAGCTGAGGCTCGAACCCCCGAACCCGCAATCTCACGATTACTAGTCCGGTAGCCTAACCTCTAGGCCACCGACGCCACTGACGTCGTATCAGAGAGACGGAAATAATCCTGGCCAGAAGATAGTTTTATCCACACGTCTTTTCCCCGTCTTTCTGACGGAATGATACAACGTCGCATCAGAGAGACCGAAATACTCCAGAAAAATATGTTCTCAAATGTCTTTTCCCCGTCTTTCTGACGGAATGATACAACGTCGCATCAGAGAGACCGAAATACTCCAGAAAAATATGTTCTCCAATGTCTTTTCCCCGTCTTCCCGATGGAATATTGTTCGAGCACCCCACTAAGCCCACATTTTACGACATGATAAATCCATTTTCCCCCCACAAATCAATGATTCTACAAGTTGTTGGGTCTTTTAGTTTTAGTAAAGGTTTTTCGGCGCTCGCAACTGGATAAGGTCATATGAGCGCCAAGGGGTGGATGTCAACAGAGAGATCCTTACAGCGAATCAGACTTACTCTGTTCACCTCTCTAGCTTCAACAGCACAAAGCAGATTTCGACTATCAAAAGACCGGAAATAGCGGCTTACAAGATTGTAACAAACGTACAAAAGAAGTAGAGGAAAATGACGATAAAAAGAATTAGAAAAGAAAAAACAGCAGTTCCCTGTCGTAATTCAGAAACAGTTATGAACATGATATTGATGAATCAGCTCATTTACAATTCTACTGAGCATAAGAACGAGAAATGCCCCCCCCCCCTCTTTTGGGAATGGCCTAAAGAAACTCCAGTC